CGAAAGGGAAAAGTTCGGGGTGATTACATCGAACACACCATGATTGTTCCGCATTTTGTTTGACCCTGATGTATTTGGATGTTTTTAATTACATTTTGATTCTATTATGGCTACATGAACATGTTTTTAAAAGATGGTTTTATTCATCTAAAAATAAATTTTTGGTCTTAAATTTTGGGACGTTACAATTTTGATAATACCTTTGAAATCATTAGTCCATAATTAGGATTTGGTTATGCCTATCATTTTGTTGTTGATCTCTTAAGTATGTTGCTAATATATTATCAACATTTCGTTTTGCTCCAAGTCTTGTTGTAGTAAAGAACACTTCAAGTATGTATTGTTATTCTATGTTCTACATTATAAATTTGTTGAGACTTTCATATTATTCCAAGCTTAGATGTCCATGCCTCAAAGCCTTAATGAAAATTTGTTGTTATATCTAGTCATAAGGGGTGGGATGATATGGGGTGTTCTTGTAATGGTTGGGTGTACGCGGGCCCACTAGATACTATAAATACATAACAATAATAATAACAATAATAATAATAATAAATTAAAAAATAATAAAAAGGTCATTTTAGCATATTTAACAATTAAAACTAAAGGATCGAAACCACAATCAAACAATTCTCAAAATTGCTATTGCAAATGGCACAAGTTATGGGCTGATGGTCAATTCTTTATAATGGGTTGAACTCAAATACGTTGAAGGCCCACATCGCAATATTGTGTTGAGCAGTTCTTTAACTATGATTTCTTTTTTGCATTATAGAGCGTAATCTTTATGTACCTAAAATGTATAGCTTAATTTTTAATAATGTGTGACACAAAATTCATAACGTATGACAAGAATTCATAATATATAATATGGTATTCATATCGCATAACATAACTTTGACACTAACAAGAAAGTTGAATTAATTAATAAATGACAAATTACATAAATGGTCTTTTTGTTAGCAGGAAATACCACTACACGTCCTTTTGAAGAATTTTTAGCATGGTTGGTTCTTTTTAAGGTTAAAACGCATACAATGGGCCCTTTTGACTAACATTGTTAAAAGATTGGGATTAATATATTATAGAGTAAATTACACGAATGGTCCCTATGGTTTAGGGTAATTTGCGCATTTGGTCCCTAACTTATTTTTTTAACTCAGAAGGTCCCTATTGTTTAATTTTGTTACGCGCTTGGTCCTTGTCTTACCTAAAAAGACTATTTTGGCCTTGATTTTTTAATTTATTTAAATAAACACACACCCCAACCCCACCCCCTAACCTTACCTTACATACCCATCATTTTTCCCTTTTTAAATAATAGTATTTTTAGGTAAGAAATGGATCAAACGTGTAACAAAAACAAATAGTAGGGACCAAGCGCGTAATAAAAACAAACAGTAGGGACCTTCCGAGTTAAAAAAATAAGTTAGTGACCAAACGCGAAAATTATCCCAAACCATAGGGACCATTCGTGTAATTTACTCTATATTATACATGCATGGTTGGTAAGAGCCACACTTACATGCTATCAAATGCATTTTGTATTTTGTTCATGGAACACTTGACCATCTTCAATGAGTTTAATGTATCTTCCCAATCGAGCCTTATAGTGTACTATGATGTTGATGATGTCGATTGGGGAGGATTTCAGGCTACCAGTCGGCCCCCCTTTGGTTACTATCTTTTCATAGACAACAACCTCATTTCCTAGTCCTAAAAACATCAAGGTGTTATTTCTCGAATACTTTGAAGGTTCACATCGCAATATTGTGATGAGCAGTTCTTTAACTATGATTTCTTTTCTGCATTATAGAGCGTAATGTTTATGTACCTAAAAAACGTAGCTTAATTTATAATAATGTGTAACACAAAATTCATAACGTATGAGAAGAATTCATAATATATAATATGGTATTCATATCGCATAACATAACTTTAACACTAACAAGAAAGTTCAATTAATTAATAAATGACAAATTACATAAATGGTCTTTCTTGTTGGTAGGAAATACCACTACACGTCCTTTTAAAGAATTTTTAACATGGTTGGTTCTTTTTAAGGTTAAAACGCACACAATGGGCCCTTTTGACTAACATTGTTAAAATATTAGGATTAACATATTATACATGCATGGTTCGTAAGAGCCACACTTACACACTATCAAATGCATTTTGTATTTTGTTCATGGAACACTTGACCATCGTCAATGAGTTTAATGTATCTTCCCAATCGAGCCTTATAGTGTACTCTAATGTCGATGATGTCGATTAGGGAGGATTTCCGGCTACTCGTCGGTCCCCCTTTAGTTACTGTCTTTTCTTAGCCGACAACCTCATTTCCTAGTCCTAAAAACATCAGAGTGTTATTTCTCGATCCAACATGGACACAGAGTATTACGAGATATAAAATACAGTTGATGGGACATGTTGGACTACCAACCTAAGGCCACGATTGTCTATGGTGATAACATTAGTGCAGTTTAAATGTCATCTAATCTTGTTCAACATCAATGAACGAACAAATGGATATTGACATCTACTTCGTTTGAGATAAAGTTTTGGTAGACCTTGTCCGGGTTTTTTCATATACCATCAAGTTCACAATATGCAAACATTTTCATGAAGGGCCAATCTAATTCTTCATTTTTAGATTTCGGATACAATTTAAACATTTGTAAGCCTCCTCCAGATAAAACTACGAGGATTTTAGTGTATACATAATTTAGCCCATGTTTATACTCAACCACTTCATTGATCGTACACCCACTTTTGCATGGTTGTACCCCATCGCTATGTTCCCCGTTGAGCATTGAGGCTCACGTGTGTGCATACAGAGTTGGCTAATGGGAAAAACTCATAAAGCTCGAAGGATCACCAAATCTTCTTAAATGTTTCATAGTGTTTGGGATTGAACTTAACACTATTATTATTGTTATAGCACTTCCAAATCTCTCTTAAATCAATTTAATCGCAATTTCTCCTCAAACATCAATGGTTTCCTATTTCCACCATCATCAGCCAAAAACCCAAAATAATAATAGGAATAATTTAAACTTTATACCGGATGATTCTCTACTAGAATCGAATGCAAGAACACCAACAAATCCGAGATCAATAAACTCAAGCTCCTGAATTCACACCAATTTCTTTCCCAAGTCTCACTTCTCTTTCTCTTAGCGCCAAATAAAGCCTTGGTTTAAGCCCAAAAACTTGAGCTCATTTCTGATAACTAAAAGCCTAATCCTTTTTTTTTTCAATTTCTAAAATTATTTAATGAAATTTCATTTCTCTACTAAAAAATAAATGAATTGAGGTCCAAAAGAAAAATAACTATGCACAAAAACTACCACATACTTTGAATTTCATGATCCGAAAGTCTCAATCCTCAATTTTAAATCTTTATTATTTTAATGTATTATTATTTTTCCTTTGTCACGTTTTTTTTATATGAAATGCTTGGTATAAATCTTTAAAAAAATGTGATTGATTTAGGTATCAACATGTCGATATAAATTGTCGCAATATTGAAAAAAAAATGAAAGAATATGAAAAACGTTGAAAATCATAAAAAAATGAAAAAACAAGATAAATGTTGAAAATAGTTTCATGATATCGTGAATCTCAATTCTTATTGAGGAAATTTTAATTTAACTTCTTTTATTTATATAAATGTTTTAGGTTATATCTTGCCTTTTTTTAAATTTTATTTTGTATATTTAAGTAGTTTTTGGTACATGAGATTAGACGAACATAACAAAACAAACTCACTGAAAATAGTGTTTTGTAGTGAGGAGATAGGACAAGATTAGACACAAACCAAGTTAAATGAAACTAAAGTTTAAAATTTTAATCTCAATCATACATTTATTTTATTTACAGTAGATGTAACAAATTATAGAAAAAAATGCATTATTTTTGTTTATTTTTAAAATTCAATTTATTTTTTAACGAAAAAATTGAATATATTACGATTTCATAAATATTTTGTCTTGTATAACCAAAAATACATATCTATATATAAAAAAGAAGAAAGCAAATCAAAATTTTAGTTCAAATCTCACACACACACATATATATATATATATATATATATATATATATATATATATATATAAATCCAGTAACAAATTTTTTTTTATAGGAAGGTAAGAAGTTTTTTTTCGACATATTTTTTTTGACGAACAAAACAAATGAATCACTAGATAAGCTAACATGATTCACAAAAAAATATCTCAAAAATCATCTCGATGATTCATTTTTACGATGATTTTGTTGATATTTATTAAAATTGTCATAAAAGTGATTTTTTTCCTTAATTTAATTAAAAATGAATCATGAATGTGTTTTTTTGAGAATTTTTTCTTATAAATCATTTTACTTTTGAATCATTTACTGATTTATTTTGTTTGTTTGCTAAAAAAATATGTATATAAAAAATTTCTTATATTCCTATCAAAATTTTCCTTTTTATTTGATCTTAGTAGAGTTTACCAAAAAAAAAATTTATAGTTGATTGCACATGTTTGCCATTGATTGTATTTGATACTGGGAGCGTTTGAGAGCTTCTAGTTTTTAGTGTCTGACAAAATGCTCCGTTTTAAACAGAAAGTCTTGTTTTGCATTACAAGCTTCTAACATTTAGTTTAAACAAAACGCTACAAATCCAAATGCTACTTCATTTAGCGTTTAACAAAACGCTATCAGCTAGAAACTACCTGTTACCCGCTACTAGCTATTTTTGCTTCATTGTTCATTTAGTTTTCTAGAGAGTTCATGCACGGCTAATCACTTGTTTTAAAGAAAAACGAGATACAAATTGCTTGTTATACTTTTAAGTTAACCCTCATTTACTTTACTAAATCGTCTAAATATTATGAATATATGACAATTTTAGTACCATCCATTTTTAAATTATTAGAGGGTTACCACAAATGAATAGAAGTAGTATTCTTATATTTCCCATATTTTCTTTGAACCAACATCAACTTGCATGTCGACGTATTTACAAATTCGAAAGAGTATTGAAACCTTCAATTCTTGCAGCAAAAAAGGCATGAGAGAAAGAAAAGGAAGAAAACTTCAACTCCATATACAGAAGTGGGTCACTCTCCTACTTTCTCTCTTAATTCAAACACACATATAACTCTCACCTTCATCGTCTCCTAATCCTCCTCCTCTCTGGTATCATACTCTTCCACACTCCCATTTTTAAAAATCCACATCCAAAACTTAAACAATTCTCGATTCTTTCTACACATTTCAACTTAGTTAAGATCAGCGATCACAATTTGGATTTCAATTCTCTTGCTGGTAGGTCATAAATTCATCTTGTTACCTGTTTTTTCTATAATATTTATCAATCTGACGTGATTCAATCCGATTCTCGATTTGGGGGTTTTGTTTTGTCATTTGTGGTTGTTTATTCTCGATTCTCGATTCCTTTTCAGAGACATTTGTTGCGACGTAGAGGTGCAAGACGATGGGAGATGGAGCTGTGGATGATAATGGCGGTGTCGCCGGAGATCAACTGGTTACGCCATGGAATTTGTCCATTTCCAGGTGATTCAAAATCAATCAATGGCTATTAATTCAATGCTTACATTATTCTATTATCCGAATTCTTCAATGACTCTTTCGATCTTAATATTTGGTTTCTGAATATGAAAATTTGCTTGATATGATCCAGTGGGCATAATTTGTTACGAGACCCACACCATAACAAAGGGCTAGCGTTCACAGAAAGGGAAAGAGATGCTCATTACTTACATGGTCTTCTTCCTCCCACTGTATTTACACAAGAACTTCAAGTAAGTTCATAAATCTCATGGGTTAAAATTGAACACGATAATCGAGTTCGTTTCTTGAATCGTAATTGTGTTCTTGATCATGGAAATTACAGGAGAAAAAAGTAATGCACCTAATTCGACAATACGAAGTCCCTTTGCAAAGATACATAGCCATGATTGATTTACAGGTTTTTTCTTCCTTTAATGGCCATGGTGTATTTGTTAAATTGCTATAAAATATGTTAAATCTTTGACAATAAAACATCAAATCTTGTAGGAGAGAAATGAACGATTGTTTTACAAGCTTTTGGTGGATCACGTGGAAGAACTACTTCCAGTTGTATACACTCCAACTGTAGGTGAAGCTTGCCAAAAATTTGGAAGCATTTTTCGTCGCCCTCAAGGACTTTACATCTCTTTAAAAGACAAGTATGCTCTCATGCATTCTTCTTTTTTTATTCCCCATTTTTCATGTTTCTTGTGTTTATAAAAAGTTGAGGGCAGTTTCGTCATTAAATAACTGAATATCATCAGAGGTCAGGTTCTTGAAGTGTTGAGAAATTGGCCCCAAAGATTTATTCAAGTTATCGTTGTTACTGATGGTGAGAGAATATTGGGGCTAGGTGATCTTGGTTGCCAGGTGTGATTTTTTAATAAAAAATATTTAATCATTATTACATATTAATATTAATATTATAATATTATTATAATAATTTAATAATATGTTTTTTTTTAAATGTCAGGGGATGGGGATTCCCGTTGGAAAACTTTCTTTGTATACCGCGCTCGGAGGCGTTCGTCCTTCAGCTGTAATTATAATACTTTATTATTTTTTTCATCCTTAATTTTCTCAAAATTAAATGTCTAGAAGCTAAATGTTATTCATTTATTTATTTATTTTCAGTGTTTACCTATAACGATTGATGTTGGCACAAATAATGAAAAGTTGCTTAACGATGAGTTCTACATTGGTCTCAAACAACATAGAGCCACAGGAGAGGTTCGTTGTTATTACATTATTTTACACATAACATGATACGACAGAATACTTTGTACTGTGTTCGTGTTTGTTTTGTATTGAACTGACACTGTGTAACCGATGTCAATAAACAAAAATTGTAATTTTTGTTACAACTAAAAAGTTGGAACAATGTGGGAGGGGGACTCGTTCTGACTGTTATGTATGTGTAAAAGACATAAACACCCTATTTATATTGATAGTAAAAAATTATCGTTATGTTTTGATGTAGGAGTATGCGGAGTTGTTAGAGGAGTTCATGACGGCTGTGAAGCGAAACTATGGGGAAAAAATTCTTGTACAATTTGAAGATTTTGCAAATCATAACGCGTTTGAGTTGCTTAACAAATACCACAATACTCATCTTGTTTTTAACGATGATATACAGGTAAAATTAACACCGTGTTGCAAAACAATATTCACAAAAATACCATTAAAAACATGGTATTTTATTTTGTGAACAAAATTTCCAATTTATAACCTTAACAATGATGTTTTGGAAAAGGAAAACAAATAGTTTGTTACCTATTTACAACATTAACCATTTTTAATATAAAATGCATTTTTTTAAAATGATTTGCAGGGTACGGCTTCTGTTGTTCTTGCCGGTTTGCTTTCAGCTCTCAAGTTACTCGGTGGGACCCTCTCGGATCATACATTCTTATTTCTAGGTGCCGGAGAGGTAAAAAATGATTAAAAAATCAACAAAATAAGGTCTTTTATTGGTCTTTATGTCGTAATTTTTTGTTTTTGTTTTAAAGGCTGGTACAGGAATAGCAGAGCTTATTGCACTCCAAATATCGAAGCAGGTAAAGTGTGGTATAACACTATGCTAATTCTCTTAACTTTTTTTGTTAATAATACATTAAAGGGTAAAATGGTCATTTACTTGTAACAGACAAGTGTTAATGTGGAAGAGGCTCGAAAGAAGATTTGGCTTGTTGACTCAAAGGGGTTGCTTGTGAGCTCCCGTAAAGAAACCCTTCCACACTTTAAGCTTCCATGGGCTCACGAGCATGAACCCATTAACAATCTTTTAGATGCCGTAAAGGTAAACTTTTTTACTTAATAGAAAATGAGACAGATATATTGTAGATATATAAGGTCATTTCTTTTTCATTTAACATATACAAAAGGGTAACATGGTCATTTACTCACCTTTAGACACATCATTCCGTCCAAAAAAAACTGTCTTTATGTATACAACACTTACTCCAAACAGACACTTTATATGTCGTTAACTTTCTCATACAGGAAATCAAGCCAACAGTGCTAATAGGAACATCGGGAGTTGGGAGACAATTTACACAAGAAGTTGTCGAGGCCATGTCATCTAACAACGAGGTTTGTTTTTTTTTTTTTTTAGCACAATAAATATTTATTTTATGAAATTTGAAATTAATTCGATTAAAAATCGTTTGTAGAAACCACTCATTATGGCTCTATCGAATCCAACCTCACAAGCCGAGTGTACCGCCGAAGAAGCATATACATGGAGCCAGGTAAATAAACGTACTATCAATTTTTTTATTCAAACAGTCAAAGGATACTTTCGTCATTTCACAATATAACATAACTAAGAGATTGTGTAGGGTCGAGCAATTTTCGCTAGCGGAAGCCCATTCGATCCCATGACATATGAAGACAAAGTATTCGTCCCCGGCCAGGTCTAAAACCAACTATGTGAAAACAACCGTAAAACTTGGTTACTATTTAATGAAATTTCACGGTTTACATTCTTAATTTTATTTATTTATTTATTAAAATTACAGGCAAACAATGCTTATATATTCCCGGGATTCGGTTTGGGATTAATCATGTGTGGTGCTACTCGTGTGCATGACGATTTACTTTTGGCCGCATGTAAGTGGCAAAACCGTAATTTCTATTTGAAACATCTGTACTGTGTACTGTTTACTGTGTTCTATGACATTTTTTATTTTTTACAGCCGAAGGTTTGGCATCACAAGTAACGGATGAAAACTTTGCCAAGGGAATTATATATCCACCATATTCATGTATCCGCAAGATTTCAGCACATATTGCAGCCTCTGTTGCTGCCAAGGCATATGAACTTGGTAATTTTTATATGTTTTCACTTTTTACTACATTTATTTATTTATTACAAAAAACTGTTACTAAATAATGTTTTTTTTTTCTTTTTAAAATCAGATCTAGCTTCTGTGCTCCCACGTCCTAATGATCTTGTTAAATTCGCTGAGAGCTGCATGTATTCTCCAACGTACCCTAACTACCGCTAATTTTCTCAAATATGTCTCAAATTTTATTTTATTTTTTAGTTTTTTTTAATAGTCACGGGTTTTACATTTGAGTATTTTAAATTTTTTCTTTGCTAATAAACTTCTTATCATTTATGAGTGTAGAAACGATATAATTTGGAATTTGAAATACAAGTGAAATCAAGAAAGTGAGATTGATAGTTTGATACTTGATTAAAGATGGCCAAAAAAGATGTGTTTTTAATTACTAAATAAGCATAATATAATAATTAGCTAAACTACACCATAATCCATATATATATATATATATATATATATATATATATAATTATGAGGTACCTTTAAAAGTTCCTAAATTAATTAATCACTGCTTCTCTTCACTCTTCTGTTCTCCATCTTTCATCACTTGGCCTCCTGCAAATTTTAAGTTAATGATTATTTATTTACTCGTTAATATGATTAAAAGAAATAATTAATAGATTGAACTTAGGAATGGAATTAAAAAAGGAATGGAATGACACAATGGAATTAGAAATGAAAGGAATGGAATTACCGGATGGTTTTATAGATGGATTGGGTAAGAAACTTGTAGACCATGATCCACCATTGGATCCAGCTAGAGCCATTATTACATCTGCCTGAAATACAAGAATATAAATATCACAAAATTATTTTAATAAAATAATGAGAAAAATAATATAAAAATAAATAAATCTGAGACCTTGTTTGGGTGGACATCATCAAACACATGAGCTTGACCACCATAAAATATAGTCATCTGGCGAGTTGGGGTAGAGCCTGAATCAGTATTACCAATCACTGACTTTTGTTTACTGCCGCCTGGCTCAGCCACTCCACCGCCACCACTGCCGCCACCACCATTGGCGGAGGAGGTGAAAATCCCAGAGCCTTTGATTCCAGTTCTGGAGCCTTCATCAGCAGCTGATTGGGAAATCAAAGAGGGACCCACATTCACATTCATATTCATATTGCTATTGGCATCTTTGAATCTGTTTTGAACAGGTTGATACTTGTACTGTACAACTTGAGCAGCAGCAGGTGGAGGGTACTGAAGTACAGGCCCAACGTTTACAGGAATGGCTCGTTCCCATTTTGATGAATTTGCATGATCAGGTTTACCAGGTTGTTGTTGTTGTTGTTGTTGTTGTTGTTGTTGTTGTTGTAGCATTAGAGATGATGATGATGTTGGCCTCATTTGATGCATACCCATGAATGATTCATCCTCATGAGGCCATCTATGGCGTTCTCCTCCTACATTTCTCAGCATCTAACCAAAAAAAATGTTCGGATTCATCATTCATGAAGCCAAAGTGGAGTTAAGATGTGGTATTTCTCATTGAGGCATTTCATCGAACATGTTGAGTGTAGGTTTGTAGAGCAGGAGAAGAAATTGAGAAAAACGTACCTTCATTAAGTGTGAGGTTTCAGGAAAATCTGGTCGCAATTGTGGGATGGCTTCTCTTGAAGGCGCCATGAAAATAGAATCTGAGTTGCTGCGTTTGGTCCCGGAATACCTAATCTGGGATGTTGAAAAATCGGTTTTTTGACCATAGAATGGCACCCCTTCGAGGTGTAACCCAGCTTGTCTTTCTGCCATGGTAAAAACAGGTAGATCATCAATCAAACACGCCAAGATAGCTCTTTTACATACGATTCAAACTCATTGATCAATTGTAATGAGTAACAGGGGTAAATAGTTGAATTTAGCTTCAAAATTTGCAGAAAAACGTACTGATTATGGTGATGGTATCAATGAAACTAACCCACTGAAAGATACCTATCCCATAAAAAAATCAAGTCTTTTTATTCTATTATGAAACTAAGAACTCGTGAAATAGTAGTTGTATTTGATGCATCAAAATTTGTACCAAATGTGATCATTTTCTTGTAAGATTGAAGCCAATACCTCAATTTGCTTTATCATCATTGCCCAATTTTGATGAAATTTTGGGAAGAAAGAGTAAAAAACTTAACCAAGTGAAACAAAATGAGTAATTTAAGGAAACACCCATTTTAATATTCATAGGAACTAAAAATCAGGAACAAAATGAGCTTTTTAGAACGTCAATTTTGAAGAGAAAGAAACCCGTTTAAATGGAAGGGGGACGGCGTTAGTACCAGAACCCAGATCAGAAGTGGTGGAGACCGGCCCACCACCACGGCCACCACCACCACCGGAGACGGAAGCAGAAGGGGAGGAAGCACTAGCAACATCACTAGCGGCGGCGATCTTGGTCACCGGAGCACATCCCCGGCCAAGAAAGTCGTGTAAAATGGTGGGTTTAACATCATCACTGGCATTGCTGTTGTTGTTGTTGTTTTGAGCCATAATATCTGATAACAACACAGCAGCCATAATCTCATCTTAAATCACCTATTATTGTCATCATCAGAGACACTGCAAAAGGGAAATTTAAAGTGATTCTTTGAATTTTTCCTTTAAAGAAGCAAGGGTTTCTTTCCTGCTTTCATGAAAATATGAAAGAGAATCAAGAGTATCGAGTTTTGGGGAAGAGAGAGAGAGAGAGAGCATTAAAGAGCAAAAGCTAGTTGTTGTTCTGGTGTTTGCTCTGTCCTAGAGTGTGGATGTTTGTCTGATCCCTTTTCTGCGAATTTTTGGGGCGGGGTATCGATCTACTTGTTACACTTTCACTTTATCAATGATCATTACTCTATAACATTTTATACTCCATCGATATTGTTGTCCACAGACAAAAAACACACATGTTAAAAAAAATATTAATTATCATTAACTTTATTTAATAAAATGACAGTTTTGTCCTTACTTTGCATTTAATGTTCCATTAAATATTTAATTGGTTAAGTAATAATGAGGGGGTATTTTGGTAAAAATATTATTTATTTTTAGAAGTTGACTATTATTTTCGGACAAACCAAAACGAAAAGATGGACTATAATTTTGAGACGTAGGAAGTATATCTTTATTATTTTGGGTTATTTTAAATGGAAAGTGAGAAATCTAATTATTTTATAATGTTTATTTAAAAATAATAATAATCATTTTTTAGCAAAAATAATCATTTTGTCCGGAATAGATATTTCTGACAAAGAAAAAACATGTTTTTTGATTGATTCCGGAACGTCATTTCGGACTACTGTTTACATTCCGAACTAAAATTTAGGATTTCAAAAAAAAATCTACGGAATTTTAAGAACAAGTCTGAAATCTGAAGAACAATTCCGAAATTTCGAGAATTTTTTTTTGTTTTTTTACTTAAATTTAGCAAAAGGTTAAACAAATATAATAAATATAAATTATATACAATATTAGTATATAAAATTAGACATTTTATTGAAAAACAATAATATTAAACCCTTAGAAATAGACATTTCACACATAAGTGATGATATATTTTTTCAATAAAAATTTGGGAAAACCCCAAAAAATAGTTTTGGAATTTGAAGATCAAACCCGAAAATTGAGCATTTCGGAATAGATCATTCTTTGAAAAAAAAATGAAAAGTAGTCCAGGATGTGAACAATAATCCGGATCGAGGCATTTAGGAGATTGTGGTCATTTTTTGAAAAGTGGTTATTTTCTTCAAAATGCTCATTTATATGGGTTAGATTTCTCAATTTCCATAATTTTCTATATCTTTATTATTTTGGGTTAATGATCTAGAGGGTAACGAACTTTGATATTTGTCCATATTTAGGTAACCATGTTTTTTTTGTACACATTTGACCATTAAACTTGTTTAATCTGTTCAAAATAGGGCAATATGACTAATAATTACTAGTGATATTACCCTATTATGAGCAAGTCAAACAAATTTATTGTTCATATGTGTACGAAAAAAACATGATTGCCTAAATGTGGACAAAAACCAAAAGCTCTTTACCCGTTTTGGTAATATTGAGTTCTTTATGCTATGTAACGCCCGTGTTTCTGAGTTAGGCATTAATGTTGATGTAATAGTCTAGGTTAACCTTTGTAACTTATTTTGAAATAATAAAAATGTATTATTTGAGTATTATGTGATTTATGCCTAATTGTTGTGACTTAATTGAATTAAGGATAATTTAAGCGTTAAAAATAAAATTTTAGATAAACCCGATATCGATACATGAAGTTGTAGTGGTCGTGGCAAGGTTTCCGAATATATAAAGAATGCCGAAATCCGAGTTATAACGAAGAAGTTATGACCTGTCGAAGTTTCGTGACAGAACCGACACGACACTGTATGACGTAAAATACAAATTTAAGATAGAGAGATATCTAGCCTTAGTGATCTAAACGAAAGTCGTGGAATACGTTAAACCGAGAGCGTGCATAAAAAAGAACGTCCAAATCTGACTTCGTATGAGGAAGTTATGATTTTTCTAAGTTTCGACTTAGCGGTATACAGCCCAAATCTCGAAATTGAGATCGAGTGATATTTGGCCGAAACAATCTAAACGAGAATCGAAGATCTCGTCGTTAGTATTCCAACGGTAAAAAGACAGACGAAAACGGACGTCGGATGAAGAAGTGATGATTTTATAACGGAGTTTTCCTGTCCCGACCTACTAAAAATAATATAATAAAAATAAATTCAAAACTAGCCAACGGAGTCTAAATGAAAGTTGTAGAGCATAGTCTCACCTACGCGTGGATATAAAGAACGTCGAAAACGGAGCTAGTATGCGAAAGTTATGAATTTTTGAAGTTCGAGGCACGCATACCAAAGCTTATCCGAAGAGTACGCCCAGCGTATTGCTTGTAGAGGAATTACGTCCAGCGTAATCAGGATTTACGCCCAGCGTAAATCGGGGTTTCAGCCCCTATAAATAGAAGTCGTGGGCTGCCGAATTTGGTTGCTCATTTCTTTCTCTCTCACTCGTTTTACGTGCAAGCTTTACCCCCGAAGCCCCGGTATCATTCCCGACACCCGAATCAAGTCCCGAAGCCCCGAGGATCCCGAGAAGTAATGTTTCCGAGCCGAAACTCTGCCCGCGAGAAGCCCGGTTTTCAAGAAAAGCATCCCGGTTTTATCGGAAACGATTGCTTTAAGAGACGAGGTGCTGTCCGATCATCGTCTTATCAAGTGAGTGCATAGTTACTTTCATCTTACACATAGATATGAAGTATTTAATATAAATTACATGCTATGTGTGCATATTGTCTGTATACTTGCTGTCTATGCTGGGTGAAAGATTTTTTTATACATGTTTTAAATGATTTAAACTGTATATGTATTTTATATCTACAAAAATATTGGGGTAAAACATGGGTAGATGTAATAGACGATGTGTGATAAAATGATGAGAGACCTCGATGTTGTTGGTGATCCTGTCATCTAGCGGAGTATAGATGACGACCACGGACTTTTCTAGACAGTCCAGTGGAACGCTAGCAGGCTCGCAACCTGTAGGTGTTTGTGAACTATGTGTTCACCGGTGTACTCCATCCCCCCATGGTTGCCTTTAGGACATTTATTGCTGAGGAACCCCCTTGGCAGTAGTGTCCATCCCGATGTTGATCCTTAGTCTAGGTCCCTTATGATAGGTGTTTTAGGGACGTAATGTGAGGATAACGGGAACGGGTAATCGGGTTATTGTTGGTTGATGAACTAAATATAATTATTTATTGTGGGTTGAAAACCTTATATACTCACCAGGCTCCCAAGCCTGACCCACTCAGTTTTCTTTGTATTACAGGTAGTGGCACGAGAGCATAAGTTGGATGACATTGTCAAGATATTTTTGGATTATAGACCCGTAGTTATATGTAACTGTTGTAAGGTCTATTTTGTATTGTTTATGCTTTTGGTCTGTATTGGAACATGACATCCCGAGGTTTTGTTATATAATGAAAATATATTTCTTTATGAAATGCTTTGATAAATTCTTATCATATTTTGTTTTGGGAACAAATTCCGCAACTCTTTTAATCAAAGGATTACTCTGACTTTATTTAAAAGCATAAATGAAACCGGTCTTTTCTGGCCGTGATTTTGGGGATGTCACATGCTAAGTGCAAGTAGTCATAAGACACACTGATGTGACATGGAATCGGGCCATCGGGTCTTGGTGTCATATCCGGATTGTAGATTTGGAGTAGGTGTCGTTACTAAGTTTCGTCTTAATTTCTAATTGTCGTCACATAACAAAAACCATTAGACCGCCTCAGGTACTATAACCCGTGAGCAGGCTCCGACGATTAGGTTGAATCGATGGTGTATGAGGAGATGGTTAGGTCTTGGTTCATCCTAATTTAGGCCCAACTAGTCAGGGGCTAGGTTGTATACGCTTAAGGGGCTAGGTTGAATGCGCTTTAGAAGCCTAGCAGCAAGGGATAGTCCACGACTAACTGGGTTGGTTTAAGCCTAACCAGATTATCCATTGACCTATATCTATAAATAAAACACCTCATCTTCTATGAGGAGGATCTCTCATTCTCAGACATGAGCGTCCATTGTATACATACTTTCTTCCTACCAAGATGGTTCTTCATCCAGGAGAAACCATCTCCGTATACACATTGATCTAACTTGACTGTTGGAGTTTGCTCACCCAAGACAGTCCATGAGGCGGTTCTAATGGTTTTGTTCTCTGATGGAAGCTAGGAATTAAGTCATGAATCCGCTAACAACACCTACTCCAGATCTAACATCAAGACCTCATAACCTGATTACATGTCACATCAATGGTTCTTATGACTACTTGCACTTAGAATAAAGAACCAAATATTACCAAAATGGGCAAGGAACTTTCTTTTTTGTCCATATTTAGGTAACCATGTTTTTTTTCGTATACATTTGACCAGTAAACTTGTTTGATTGTTCATAAAAAGGGTAATATCACCGGTAATTACCAGTCATAGTACCCTGTTTTGAACAAGCCAAACAAGTTTAATGGTCAAATGTATACGAAAAAACATGGTTACCTAAATGTGGACAAAGACCAAAGTTCGTTACCCTCCTAAGTCATTAACCCTATTATTTTAAGTCTAGATTAAATTATATTGTTGGTCCTTAAGTAGTTGATTTTGCAATTTAGGTATAAAAAATTGTCTTTTTTAGTTTTGGTTATTCTTTTATCGGTTGTATTAAGGGTTGAAAATTCCATCAAATCGAGTACATTTCAATCTAAAATCGCATCATTTCAAACTAATCTGATTGGGATTTCAGCTTTCATGTTCCATTAAATCATTGAAAACGATTTAAACCTTTTCCCATAATCAAATTGACATTTGAGCATCTCCAATTAACGGGTCTTGGGAAGCCGAGATCTACGTTTGTGGTAAATTACTTCTTACTCCCTTATCCAAGCCACCCTTTCGTTTTGTGTGGTTTTAACAAGTTTTTTTTTCTTTCTTCCTTGTTGGTCGGGGTTGTTCGAGTTGCGTTTCGGCTATATAATCTGGAGAATCCAGTAGTGAAAAATGTGGTTATGAAGGTTATGGTGGCGAAGTTTGTAGCTGTGAAGTTTGTCGTGGTGAAGGTTGTGGTTGTGTTTGGAAAGGTTGTTAGTATACAAAAGCGGATTAGAAGTGTTGTTGATAGGGTTGTTGATACGATGGGAAAGCTTGGTATGATTGTTGAAAAAGTTATGAGTGTGGGATTGGGGAACCATTGCGGAGCAAGTTCATAAAACCATCTTGAGGTGATTCCATATTTGGGTATTGATGTGGAGTTGTATCT